TAGTTTTTCATTTTTGCCAATCTGTAAGCTAAACATTTTTTTCAGTTGCATTTCTTTCCATGTTAGTAAGATTGAACAGTTTTTTTCCCCCCACAGATTTATATGAACATTTCAAAAGATCTCTAAGGTGGTCTATTATTCTGTAAAATATAAGTTCCATTTCTGAGAAAAATCATCCTTCTTACTGGATTTTAATATTCATGAATCCCTGCATTGTGCTTTTATTGGTTATCTCTTTTTGATGTAAAACTAAATTATAAAATAAAATGTTATAATTTATATTTTGAAATGATTGAAATTATACATGATACTCATTAGAATGATTTTCTCATTTGTATCAAAATTATTCTTATCCAAAATTAATTAGATTATCTTAAGAATTCTATTTCATATACAATGTGATTTTAAGAGCACAGCTGATAGTTTAGACATCTTGACAACTCTTTTTTCCTTTTCATTTTAATGTACAGACAGGTGAGCCAAGTGATTTTTTTCTGCAGTTGTTTTTGATCATAAATAAAAATTTGGATTTTCTTGCTCTGTCTCATGTACTCTTAGATTTTTCTCATCTTCATTTTTGAAAATCATCATTTATGTTAGCTCTACAAGAAAACCCAGGACATTCATGTAATTGCTTTAGCCTTCAAATTCTTTTCCTGTACAGTTCTGTCTTCCCTTTTTTCCAAATCCCAGTTTCTGTCTTCTCATAACTTCTGAGACCCTTCCTCTGGGTTTTTGGTTGTTTATAAGTAAAGATACCAGTAAAATTCCTATGTTTGTAATACGTACTTCAAACAAAAAATTTTAAACTTCTTGCTCTGAGCCTTGGCACATGACCTTCTAATGCTGTTGAATTGTTGAATTTTTCCTACTACATCTTACCTACCAGAAGGACTGGAGGTGGAGGATAGGTAATCTTTTTTTTTTTAAGATGAAAATATTCCTAGGTCTTTATTTTTTCAGTTTTTATTAGCATATATTCATTGTACAGGAAGGGTTCATTGTGACAATTCTGAATAGCCTTACATTGTACATTGGTTAGATTGCCCCTACCACCTCTCCACTGCCATCCTCCTCTAGACTCTACTTAAAGCAATTGCAAGAGGTTTCATCACTCTATTTCATATATGTATATGAAGTCCATCAATCATATTCCCTCACCTTCATTTTCTTCTTTCACCCTCTCCCAAATAACCCCACCCCCCCATGCTACCTATTTTGCAGTCCTGTTTTTCATTATTAAAAGTGATCTTCTTGTACCTTAAGGTTTCCAGATCATTCTCCTTCTTCCCTAAAAATCCTTAGATTAGATTATCAAGCCATTAGCTATTACTTCCTGCTATTTACATTGGAGTTATCAACTAAACCCAAGCCATTGCCTTGAATTTCTTGAAGCTTTTGGCTGTTGGATCATAGTCTCTCCAGTACTGTTGCTGTCGTGATTCATGGTGACTTCATTATCCGTATAAGTTATGCTTCTGATACATTGGGCTGCATTGAATTGTTCACATTCAGTTACCTTGCTTCACCTGCACCCCCTTACAGTTGTTTCTAAGACCTAGTCAGTACCAGTTTCTATACCAATATCTATTGGCTCTCCAGCTTGTGTCCTATATGTTTTAAACCCACACTAGACCTTAAAATCAGTTGATCTTACGAATTTTTAATTTTCTCCAACCTCCTCCTTTTCCTACTTACATTTCATATACCATCATTATAGTCTCTCCTAGTTTTACTATCCCCATTTATCTGTCCCCCTTCTTTTCAGGTATTGTACATGTGTGGGAGAACTTCAGCTCTACTTAAATGCAAGTTTTTCTCTGAAGCTGAATGAGAGCTGAAACAAAACCAACAGCACGGTTCATTTCATTTTAAATCTAGAATAACTGTCAGGTGACTTCTCTGAGAGTCTTTCACATCCCACATCAAATCCATTAGTATATCCTACTTACTTTTTGTTCCAAAAATATACCAAGAATCTGTCTTACTTTTCATCATCTCACCTGCTACCAATTTGCTTCAGTCTATCTCATCTCTTTCCTAGATTTTTATCAAAGCCTGCTTATGTTGGTTCTCTGCTTTACCTATGTAGCTTAATTGCAACAAAGCAGCCAAGATGAACTTTAAAATGTGAGTTGGATTACTTTTTTTTTTTAATCCTCCAGTATCTTCCCATTTCTTGTTTTAGTGGCCTACATGTCATGCATGATATGGTACCTGGCTTATACCTCTGACCTCATTTCTACCATTTCCATCTTTTGCTAACTCTTTAGCTATTCTGGCCTCCCGGTTTTTCTTTGAATCTGCTAAGCCTAATCTTGTGTTTGGACTTTTGTATTTACAGTTCCTTTTGCTTGGAAAGTTTTCTCCAGGTTTCCTTGCTTCCTAGCCTTTTTAAGGTCTTTGGATTATCTACTGAAAATGCTATTTTCCCTCATGTACCCTTTATTTTTCTCCATAAGGTCTCTTGGCTTTCACCATACTTTAAATTTTTACTTTCTTGATTATTTTCCTTCATTATTGTATCTGTAACACCTAGGTCATAGTAGGCACTCAACTATTTATTTGGTGAATGAAGGATCAATAGAGTAGTTACCCTTTGAAATACTAGAGCATATGTTTAAGCATGGTTTATTGAAGTAAAAACAATTCATGTATTAATGCCTTTATCTTAACTTGCTTAGTATTGGAAAGATGTACATCAAAATGTTAATTGTTGTTGTCTGAGTTAATGGCATTTTAAATTGCATTTTCCTGGTTGTTTTTCATGTAGCAAGAAATTTTAATTCCACTTTGAAAAATAAAAGAAAAATGATATTATTAAAGGATATAAGGAAATTAAATCATTATAATAGTGAGAGTGTTATCTGTCATATGTATGGTAGATGGGTACTAGGTAATTTTAAGGATGCTCTCAAAAACTGAAGAAAAAGATTTTTACAGGTGTCTTACTATAATTTCATCTTTATAATTTATTTCTATCTTATTTAGAATGAATTATTCTAGTAACCTGTTAGTACTGCCATATCAAAATACCTGAAACTGAGTAATTTATAAATAACAGAAATTTATTTCTCTTACTTCTGGAGGCTGAGAAGTTCAAAATCAAGTGTCTGGTGGGTCTAGTATCTGGTCAGGCCCTCATCTCTCCTTCCAAGATGGCACATTGAATGTTGTGTCCTCACATGGCAGAAGGTAGAAAGGCAAAAGGGGATGAGCATTGTGTCTTTACATGGTTTAATTACCCTGATAAGACCCTACACCAATTAATAGTATCATATTGGCAAAAAAATCTTCAGTTTAAGAGTTCTAGGGGATACTTCAGACCATACAGTGTTGTAATGGAGCCCTCTTTAAATGTTGTCTACTAAATCTAACACATCAGAGAAAAACTTTTTAGGGAAGTGCTGTGAGAGCCTTTTCTTTTATACCTGCTGTGTCATTTGTGAGAATGTCAACTACTTAAAATTATTTTTATAATTCTTAATAGCTTTTATGTTCACAGTTCTGCAAATAGCTTTTTGAGGGATTAGATTATATATTTTACATGTTGGGTTCTTACTGTCAACTGTACTGCTTGGTATATGATAGGTACTCAATAAATGCTTTGATTAGGCAGTGAGAATACTAGTCACTTTGTGTTTTATGGTTATCTTTATTAGGAAAAAAACCCCTTTTATTTGGGTAGTAAATGTCTCAAAGCTGTTGATAACCTTATGTGGTAGTAGGGGAGTTAGGAGGAAAGAGAAAATCGATGATATACTATTCCATAAGAAAAGACAAATGTAAACAGACTTTCAATGATACAACTTCATGTTTTTTTTTCCATTGGATAGAAATTTCATTGGGGATTTTCCCTAGTGACATGCTTTATTCTTAGTATTGAATTAGGAAAGTATTTTAGTTTCAATATTATGATGAACTAGATATATAAATGGCAATGCTAATAGCTTAGTATTTTAGTGTTCCACAAATTGATGCTTGTGGCATCTGGACGTTTTTTGGCCTGTTCTTGTAAATAAGGCCTCAGTGATGTTTAAGGAACAGCAGCTTGTGGCTAGAAAAGAAAAAAAGCTCCCTTTTTTCCAAGGTAAGCAATATAAATGGGGCTCAGGAATTTAGATCAAAAATCTCCCAGAGAAGTATCTCTTGAGTCTTCAAACTAAAAACTTTCAGTATAATTTTAAATAAAGCCTTTTGTGAAGTATGAGAGAAGTTTTTTTTTAGTTGATAGTCAATTGCTACTACTATGTAGGCTTACTAGATTTGCAAATTTACAAGTTTTTACAAGTCAGTTGGGTCCCTCCCTCAGGAAATCAGTTTAAGTTTTTTTTTCCTTTATTGACTCAAAGAACCTAGTTGTCCTTAAGTCCTGTGAATATATTTGCCACATAATTTGACGGCATTGAGTCAACACTCTTATAGGGTCTGTAGTTTGTAAAAAGAAAAACTGTTTAATAAAGGATCACATTTGAAAAAATAGACTGTACTGGATAAAACCAGTATGGGTATGAATTCTGTGCTGTGCTTTAAAATACCTACAACTATTCAAGGAAATACATGTCTTTCTTGCCAGGTACTCTCAAAATGGATACTTTAGGTTTAGAAAGCTGCTGAACTGTATCTTTGTGAACTTAAACCATAGCTGTGAATAAATTAATGTAAATATGCAATGTAATATTGATCTTTTAGAAGAATATTAATTATGTATTTGTGTTACTAGTAAAGGTTTTAAAGACAGTAGAACTTTACTAATTACTAGGGTAATTAAATTTTCAAACCAAATATGCTTAGGTACTTAAACTTTATCTTCAATTAATTACTATAATTAAATGCACTGTATAAAGAAAATCTTTTTTGAGCATCATCAGTGTGCCTAAATTTATATAGATGATAATAACCTGGGATATAATATTGGAAATTAAGTCAAATTCAAACACATTAAAATGTTTTGATTGACTCTAATATTGAATTTTGTTCTCTCTTTAATACTTTTCTAGTTGATTTGGAGCATATGCGAACCGTAAAACCTGAGAAACACTTAAGATTTTGCCAGGAAAATGGTTTTAGTAGCCACTTTGTGTCAGCTAAAACAGGAGACTCTGTAAGTAAAATAATGAATACTATATATTAAAAGTGATACTTCACATGTTTGCTACCATTCCTAGGAAGTACGCTTCTTTTTATTTAACTTTTGGTGCAAATTAATTCCTCTTGAAGGCATGAAATAGATTAGCTATAACATGTGTATTCTGGTTATGTTATTTTTATAGTTAACATAATTTTATTACTTTAAGGAATCTAGAAATGCAGAGAATTACGAAGAATATAAGTCTTTCATAATCCCAGCATCCAAGGATGACCATTCATAACCTCATATGATTCTGTTTAGTCTTCTTTTTCTGGTGTTCACAGTAATAGAGCAGTGGCTGCTAACAGATTGCATTTATTGAGTACTTCCTTTGTGACAGGCACTGTATTGCTCTGATTCCATTTCATAGATGAGTCTTACTTAGAGAGGTTATGCAATGATGGAAGGGGTGAATTTAGCTAAGATACATTGTAAACACTATTGTAAATGTCACAGTGTACCCCAGTACAATAATAATAATGTGATAATAAAAAAAGAGAGAGGTAGGTTATGTAATAGGGCCCAGTTTACACATCTAGTAAGTAGTGGAAATAGAACTTGTGAGCTCAGTTAGCAACATTCCATGGCTTACTGTCTTAACCACAACAAATACTTATTTAAAAGATTAAGATCATAACAAAGAAGGAATTTTGTGTCTTACTTTTTTATTGGCAAAATTTCTCATGTTTTTAGTACTATCAAACACATTTAAGAATCCCTTAAACATATGTTCAGAACTGTGTTTAATCATGTCCCTATTCTGGGCATATAGATTATTTCTAAGTTTTGAGCATAATATTCTAATGTAACTATTTTTAGTAAGTTTTTGATGTTTTGATTATTTCTTTCAGATAGATTCCTTGAAAGGAGATTGAAACATATTGCCAAATTACCACCAGAAAGGCTGAATTAATTTATACCATTATTTGTATCATATGCTTGCCATACTACTGTACCATTTGTAACATTGAGGATTTATTTATTTTTAAATCTTTGTTAAAGTGGTGGGCAAAAGCAAAACCAAACCAAACCAAAAACCCTCCAATATTTAAATTTAAATTTCTTTGATTACAATTGTGGTTGAAATTTAAAAAGTTTTCTTATCTATTTTCTGCATATTATTAGTTTACAATTTCCTACTGATTTTTTAAAAAGTCTGTAGACACTTTTATGTTAGAGATAATAGCCATTTGTTACAATTTTTGTCACTATCCTTTTTTTTGTTTGGCTATTTTTTCTTTTGATACTGGAGATCAAATATAGAGCTTTCCTCTTTACTGTTAATTATCTTGATATTTTTTAAACAAAAGAAGTTTGAAATTTTTCTGTGGTTTAATTTTTTTGATTTTTTTCCTTTATGATCTCCTTTGTAGTTTTAATGACTAGCATAAATAATATAAATTGTGCTTAATCCATTTTTGGGTTAGACCCATTAACATAGCCTCTTGGCACTCTTTCCTGCAGGGAAATGTGAACATGGAACATGTGCACGTACCCAGTTATGCCAATTAGTACTTCTTGATAAGCTAATCTGTGGGATGACTGGGCTTCTATCCTTGCATGTTCCTTGTTGCTTTGTCATTTTAGAATTATTTTAATAGTTATTTAATTATTATGTTAACTTGTGTTTTGTTTATCATTTTTTGTGTACTTGTATTGAACCACCATGACAAAGGCCCATTGTTTTCTTTGTAAGTACTACTTTGAAGTGGTTTGTTCTTGTAGAATCAGTTTAAGACTTCTAGACATCTCCAGTTCCCCTCATTGCTTGAGGAGCTGAGCGCCTGGCTTACTGTACTTTCTTTGACAGTACCTGCCATAATTGTTAGTGATTTCAGTGTCCTCATTTGTTCACCTCAACCGCCCATTCCTGTGCATGCCACAGATCTTATTATAAAGCACTACAACCTTTCTGTTAATCTCATTATCTGGCATCCTGATCACTGACCACCAAACATCCTTTGTCTTTCCAGCTTGCACCCTCAGTGTCCTGTCCCAATCATTCTTCAGCCCTAGTGGGACCTATGAGACATTGATCTCAACACCTTTTTGAAATCCCTAACCTTTCATGTCTTCATTTCCCCCTGCTTCCTAACTTAGATTTCATGGCCAGACAAGATCATTGCCAGGCACGTACTGTTGGTTCCCTTCCCCTCTCACTCTGTGATACTGATTTGGACAAATCTTAATTCTGCTTTAAATCAAGCTTCCACTTTTCTGAGGCTGCACCCATACATGCAACCACAGAAAATCACAAAGGCATGCTAGAGGTTTCACTACAAATTTACAACCACTAACTTCAAGTGAGCCCTTAATGCTGCTTGGTAATAATGCCATATATCCCTAGTCTATCACCTTTTCCCTCTTACCTAGATGACTGTTTATTTCACAGAACATTCTCTTCTGTACTCTCAGCTGATGGTATTGTTTCCTGTTTTTTAAGCAAATAAGATAACTTCCACATACTCCTGCCATCACATCTACCCTAGAATCCCTTTCCTTTTCTCTCTATATCTATTGCCATATCTTCTACCTTTCTTGTGATTACTATGGGATCTATGCTCCTAACTAGGCAGACTTTCCCTGCTCCCAAATCTCTTTGCCTAATCAGGGATATTGCTTTAGTAATTCACTCTTTTTCCATTATCATTTTTTCCCTGTCTACTGGATTATTCTAGCAACACACAAAGTATTATCACTTTTCTTATCTTAAAAGCAAGAAAAATTTTTTTTCTTTTTTTGTGCTACTAGGAGTTGAACTCAGGGTCTTGTGCTTGCTAAGCAGGCTGTCTACCACTTCATTCACATCTCCAGCCCTTTTTGTGTTGGTTATTTTTGAGATAGGGTCTTACTTTATGCCTGGGCCGTAGCTAGGACTACAGGCTTGAGCCACTGTGCCTGGCCAAGAAAACTTTTGATTCAACATATTTCTCTGACCACTGTCTTACTTCTTTCCTCACCAAGAGAATTTGTATTATCCTTGACTTTTTCTCTTTTCCTCATAACCTATATGTATCCATCACCAACTCCTGTTGGCTTTACTTTCAAAATATATCTAGAACCTGATGACCATTTCTTACTATCTTCACTGCTACCCTTTGGTTTAGCATCCATAGTCTCTTTTATTAGTCTCCTTGCAGATTTTGCTTTTTGTTTTCTTGCTGTTCTGTAAGGGATACTCAATACAACAAGAGATTGATTCTATTAAAATAAAAGTCCAGCCAAATCACCTGCCCATGTCTTCCATTTCACTTAAAGTAAGTGCCAAAGTTCTTTCAACATCCTGCATGATCCTGCATGATTTGTATGCCTTTTATCTCTTGGCTCATCTTTTGTAATTCCTTCTTTCTCTCGACTCCATCACACTAGTTTTCCTGTTCCTTGAACATTGACTATCAGTGAACTAAAGCATATGCTTTTGGAGATAAAAATAGCATAAGCCTTTTAGGGATATGTGTCCCTTTAATTAAAAAAATTAAGTTAGTAAAGTTATGATAAATATTCAGTGAGTAATCATGATAAGTGGGATACTTATGAGGCAAAGGTAAGTTACACTGCAGCAAATGTCAGAATGGGAACTCTGGCAATCATAGTGGACCTGGCATAAGCTAACCATGTATGAAAGGCTATTTATAGCATTTGTAATTTCTGTTTACCTATAAAGGAATGTATTGGTCCTTTTCCCTAAACTGACAGAATATAGTAAAGAGTGCTAAGTAGTGTTACTCATGAGCTATGAAGAGTTTGTTGAAATCGATACGAAAGCTATAAAGATTACTAATGTGTTGGAAAGTAAAACCTTTTAAAATAGACTAAAGCCAGCTCAATAAACCAGTATAGAACTGACTGAAAAACCAGAGCAATAGAGATTAATATATATTTTTTCAGGAATCGTAGAGCTTGTTTTGCTTATAGGTAGATGTATGTTATTTTGCTTTTTAAAGTGGTAGCTGTAATTGTCTTATTAAGTCTTTTCAAATGTAAATTTTGACTAATTCAGTAAGTTGCATGGATTTTCAAATTATGATTTAATCCTTTAAAAATGATTTTATTTAATATATTACCATCCTTGACAACAAAGCTTTTTGTGGAATAATCTAGCACGTCATATTTTTGCAACTCTTGCTGTTTATCATTTTTTTTTAGAAAGTTCAATTCATTTGAAGGTAACTTAAGTGTGTCTGTTTTAAATCACTTAAACCTATTTTTGTTATGTAGGTCTTCCTGTGTTTTCAGAAAGTTGCTGCAGAAATCCTTGGAATCAAATTAAACAAAGCAGAAATAGAACAGTCACAGGTGATGATCTTGAACTTTATATTTACATATCCCTGAAAGTTTTTATCAGTGCTTAATGGGTTAAAGTTCTGACCATATCGCTTTGTAATTCTTTTAAGTTCTTTCAGGGCAATCTCTTTATCTATAAAAAATCCACTATAATTATAATAGTTATTGACATTATTTTGTTAATTTAAGAGTGTCCTTAATTATTGAAGATTTCTGTACTCTTTTACTATTCCTACACAGCCTTTGCCTCACGAACATGAATACCAGCAGTCAAGAACTTAAAACACCCCTACAATTGCATTCTAATTCATGTGTCTAATACAGTGAACAGCTAGAGCGTGTGTGGTTTGTTAAAAGCAACAGACTAACAACATTTTTCTTCAGTATCCCTCACCTGTCCCCTATTCCATGAAGCTAAAAAGATTTAATTACCTTTTTTCATCCTTAAATTTTTCTTTAATTCCTTTAGCGTTTGTTCTATGATATATTCTCATAGACACTTGTATATATGTATATGTGTGTGTGTGTATATGTGTATATTAAAGCAATTAAGGATAAATATCAATTGAAAATTGTTATACTGAGGTGTTTGTTTCTAGTATTTGATTAAAGTGTTTTTAACTCTAAAAATTTTCAACTTTTAATTTTCATAATTCAAAGACATTTATTTTAGCATTTGCTATGGCCAAACACAGTGGTTCGATATTTTGTGTTGTGTAAATAGCTTCCAGGCACATAAAAAGTAGTTTCTTGCCTTTGGGTTAGGAGAATATAGGAAAGAAAAGTCACCAAGATTTGCTTGATGACACAGACCCCCATAGAGGTCCAGTGACTCCTTTGCTTTCAGCTTCTCTTTCTAAATGATGTTTAGCTTTGGTTAATTGGACAGTGTGTGAATGATAAAGAATCAGTGATTATTGATCATATATTTTATATGAAGTATAGTAGTGGGCCCAAAAGAGACTTACAGGTGTTTAAAGTGTAGTCCTTACCTCCAGTGGAAAAAAAGTGTATGATGTGTCAAGTACTATGTTATTTCATTTAATCCTCATAAGTCTCTGGGAAAAGTGATATTTTATCATTTTATCATCAAGATACTGCAGACTGTGGAAAAGCTAAGTAACTTGACCACTAAGTCACAGTTAGGCAGTAGTGGAGTCAGATATGAACCCAGGTTTGTATGATACTGGTGCCCTACTATTTCTCCTCTGCCATATTGGGAGAAGATGTACTGGGAAGTTTGGAGTGCAGAGGAAAAAAATGACTGAAAGGAGCTGTGTGAATAGTGTACCTGGGTAGAAAAGCTTAAGTTGTATTTTGGAAACAGAAGATCAGTTTGATTAAAACAAGTGACCATTTGTATTGGAGTATAAAAGGGAGTTTGAGAACAGATTATGGGCATTTATGAATGCCAATTTGATGAATTTTACCTGACCTATACAGAGTGGGAAATAATTTTTAGGCAGGGAAGTAATTGAAAGCAGTTTTTAAAGAGAATTTATCTAAAGGGGTATCTTTGCATAGAGTTTGATGGCTAGGATGCTGAGCTAATGAGACTGGGTTACTGCTATCATGTAGTAAAGACCAGAGTCAAGGTGGAAGGGAAAGGGTGGATGGATTTTAGAGACCATTTAAAGAAGAATCTGTAGGGTTTGTGAAATGATTGGAAAGGAGAGAGAAGTTCAAGATAACACAGATTTCTTTTTCTCTCTCTCTCTGTATGTGTTGCTGGGAATGGAACTCAGGGCCTCATGCATGCTAGGCCAATACTCTACCATTGATCTATCCCCCCAGCCCTTAACCCTGAGATTTCTTCCCTGAAGGATTGAGGACAAGGAACCCTAGTGATTGGTTTGCCATCCCTAGAATGGAACACAAGCTGGTACTTCACAGTGGGGTGACCTACACTGAGGAAGAACTCTGTGTACTGTCTGAGCTGCATGGTGGTGCTCAGGTACAAGAAAACATCCAGAGAAATGGAGGAAAAGTGATGCTTTTGAAAGGCAAAATTTGGGGGAAACACTAGTACTATTCTTAGTTCCTTCCTGTCACAAGAGCAAGCCACTGTCTTGACTTTAGAGGGCTTAATACCAGGCTATTTAAACTAAAGAGATGTTTTATGTATTAACTACATAGTTCTCTATCCTCCTTGCATACCCTGCCTTGTTTATTATGCTTTATGGTTTAATTCTGTCCTCAGTCTGTTGATAGAATTTATTTTTAATTCATTCATTTGAAGTTGAATTTAAGCTACTGGAGCCATCCTCTTTGGTTTGTCAGAATTCTTAGTGTATAGTGGGAAGGCTCCTTTCCTGAACCTGATGAGTTAGTGCCTTTGATGATTAAATTATTGCTTTCACAATTGATATTTCTCAGTGGAAACATTTTTGAAAGGTCATTTAGGAGAATAAGATGTCCTACTTGGGTATGATGGCATGAGACTGTAGTCCTAGCACTTGGGAGCCTGAGGCAGGAAGACCAGTTGAACCCATAAGTCTGGTCAGCAAAGTGAGACTCCAACTTGAAGACAGAGACAGAGAGAGGGAAAGGGAGAATAAGAGAGAAAGGGAATAAGAAAGGGAGAAGAAGGAGAAAAGGGGAGGAAGGGAGAGAGAGAAGGGGAGGAAGGCAGGGGGGAGAGGGAGAGAGAGAGAGAGAGAGAGAGAGAGAGAGAGAGAGAGAGAGAGAGAGAGAGAGAGAGAGAGAGAAAGAAAATACGCTAAGTCCAGTGGTGTGCATGTGTATATTTTGCAACTTTTCTGGTTTTCAATTACATTTGAAAGATGGCTAAGGGGATTCAAGGAAATGTTTGAAAGTATTTTGTATTGTTTTATCCAGAGGAGTTAAATGGCAGACTCACTAGTCACATGGGAATTGATGCTGTAGTAATTTAGTTTGTGAGATAAATATTTACAATAGGGTTTCATTTTTAGTTCCATTCACTGATTATTTAGGTTCTGTTATTTTAGTTCTACCCTAGATTGCTTCTGTTTGGGAATCATATAAAATTGAGTTATCAGCACATTTTGTAAGCTTTGCAAGGAGAAAAGAAAGTGAATTTAGTTTACTCATACAAATCTACTTTGAGACTGTACTTATGCCAGTGACCACTAGAACGTGAGGGTGCAGAAATGAATAAGGTGATGTCTTCGTCCTCAAGGAGCTCCCAGAATAAATGGGGTAGGCAATCATTAAACAATTAGGTATACTGCAGACAAATTTTCACAATTCTGAATTTAGTTGATTGTTTTATTTCTATAATTTATCCTCCCTCCCTCCCCTCAACTGTTTTCCTTTAAGATAGTATAAAAATTATTACCTAAAAGTGTTCCCAGATTGTCAGGTTTTTGTTGTTTGCAAAATAGTCAAAGTGTCAGGGAAAAAATTAGCTTGCATCTGTTGTTTTGCAGGATGTCGAGTATTCAGCAATTTAATAATGCATTAGGTAATCTATGAAGAAACTGCATAGACTGTTTTTTTAGTCTAAATTTGGCTGAATATGTTTGCATTAAGTGTTCTTAATACATTTGAAGCCTTGATAGTTTTACTTGTTAGTCAATAAACTATGAATTTATTTTTGGTCTGAATTAGGTATATGCACTAGTTTCTTAAAAAGGAAAATTTTGTTGTATCTGAGACTTTCACCAAACTTGCTAAAAGTATGTATTCTTTGTCTTCTCAGATTATTTTCATGCTATATATGAAACTGTCTAACATGAAGTAGGCATTCTTTAGAGTTTAGTTGAGTCTTAATTAGTATATAACTCTATGCCACTAGCACCCTGATTCTAAGTCCCTTCCCTGCTCCTCGACTTTCTCTGAATATTATTTCTTTTTAAAATTTTTTATTATAATATATTTATTATACAGGAGGGAATTCATAATGACAATTCCAGATAGGCTTATATTGTACATTAGTTTCATTGCCCTCATCATCTGTCCGGCCACCCCTTCCCTGCCCCATTTAAAATAATTGCAAGAAGTTTCTTTGTTCTATTTCTTATGAGTATATAAAATCCATCAACCATACACCCTCATGTTAATTTCCTTCATTTACCCTCCCTCCTCCCAAACACACTGTACCTATTTTACAGTCCCTTTTTTTGTTATTAATATTTTAGTTAATGTTCAAAGGAGTTTCTCACAGTATCCCCACTGTGGGTATACTTTACTTTGGTCCATTAAACCCCTCCCATTACTCTCCCTTACCCCTTTACCTCCCATCCCCCATTTTCAACAGCTTTCAACACACACCCTTATATCCTCCACCTTCACGGCTGTTATGCTTTATGATATTACTGATGCTCTATCATTCTCTTTTCCTTTCCTTCTTTTCCCATGTTCCATAGAGTTGAATATTGTCTCTTTAAGGAGTCCTTAGGTCACTTAGATTCTTTTTACTCAAATATTGCTCTTTCTTTCATTTTCTCCATTATATTTTTGGAGAATGTACTAGAATTCCATTCTCTTCCTAAGTACTGCTTGCCGTCCTTGAAGAACATATTCACTCATTTTGTATGTACTACTCAACCTTGAGCTACTGAACATTGTCCAGCGGATTTCCATGTCATACCCATTTTTCTTTTATATATTCACTTCTTAAAAATTTTACTAGCATATAATAGTCATCCAGTGGGATACATTGTGATATTTATATATGTGCTTCTGATATATCTCAGTTAGATTTACCCCCTCCATCGTTCTCCCTCCTCCCTACCTTAGAACAATTTCAGCAGGTTTCATTCTTGTATTTTCATATATGAATGCAAAGCTATGCACCTTTATTTTTTATTTTTTACAAAATTTTGAATCAGGTGGGATCTTTGACACAATGTAAATAAACTTTGTATGTTATAGATTAGGAGATTGTGAAGACAGAAGAGGTGAAATAACTTGTCCAAAGTTACGATGTTACTAGCAACATGTTAGTGACCCATTGTGTGGAAGAAGAAGAAGAGTAACTCAATTTTCTTTTGTTCCTGCTACGTGCAGCCTATGCTTTTTAACCCGCTGTAATCCATGCTTCACAGGATATTCTATAATCATGCTGCACTTTGAATATATATCAACCAATCAAAATATTCTTTTTAAAAACAGTTAACATATCTCAGAAACAGAAATCATGTGTTTATGTAAATGTCTGTAATATGTAGAATAATGACAGTAACAAATGTTTGACTTTGAATGATAGTAAATGTTTGAGTCTTCAGTGTGTATGTACTTCTTATCTTGGTTATGACAAACTACAGCTTTTGCAGCAGTAAATACTATCTAGAATAAGGCAAAGTTACATGATTGACCAATTTATCTTTAGTATCTTCTCACAAGTTCATCTATATTCTTTATACCTTTTACCCAACCCTTAGGCTACCTTCTTGCTTGTGCTTTGGATCCTGACCGTTTCTGGTATCTAATTGCAAGTGCTCTTTGACATGATCAGAATTAAGCTGGTGTTTACATGTCTTCTTGCCTTTTAGGACCACCTTATTATTTATACGCCACTGACCAATAGCAAAGAATAGTTGGGTGTACTTTCTGGCTCTAAAAATAAAGGTTGGTGTTTTGTAGGCAATGTCTCTCAAAAAAATCAGTAAATGGCTTATAAACAAAGTGGTGCTGTGAAATACCTACCATGAAGTAGTTTATGACATAGAAATTATATTTTTCTACTCATAGTGAGCAAAGTTTTGAATCTGCAGAGCCTTCATTATGGTTAAAAGTTTGGAAACATTGTACAAAGCTTAATGTGAAATAATCAACACCCCCAGGAAAGATGTTGCCTTGTTAATTCTTCATTAATTTGATAAAAATGAATGATGAATACCCAAATAATTTATGTTAGTTAGTACTTTGACCAAAATGTCTTGAGCACATGTCAGCAACCTGGTCGTGTTTATAGGTAGGGTTTAAGCCTATTGTTTTTTGTTGAATTAATGAGTTTCTTAATGATTATGAAAATCCCTTCTCTTCATTGTAACTCATTGTTTCATTTGGAATGAAACAATTAGGTTGAGGGAGGTCAGATAATGGTGAACAACATTTCACTAGTGTTGAGATGTTCCTCATCTCATCTAGTGCTTGGTAATGATTCTGTTGATAGCATCAGGCTGAGTGCCTAATAAATCATAACTCTTTTCCATTTGCTAGAGAACTTAAGCAGAACCCACCTAAGGTAATACGCTCGTATACTCCAGCATCCTGTTCCTTTTCTCTCAATTGTTTGATCTTTATTTAAAAATGTCTTCACAAGCAGCAGCCCATATTAAAATGTTTTTGTGTATGTGTTAATAAGCGAAATGAAAGCTGTTATGAAGGAAATATATTCTGAAATAAAATGTGTGCAATCATGCAAAAATGAAGATTGTTTCAAATATAAAAAGTTGCTCTGTCATACATACTCATCCCATGTGGTCTTTTCATCCTAAGGATACAGCAGTTAGAAACAGCACTATGGATTTGATTTTTATTTAGAAAAATTTTAAATATTTGAAAGCAATAGCTGTTGTACTTAAATATAATATTTCTGGCTTTTTACATGACCCAAGCTACATTTTAAAAAATTAGTGTACATTAATTGTACAAAGGGGATTCATTGTGCTATTACATGCATATAATGTACTTTGATCAAATTCACCCCCTCTATTATTTTCCACCCCTTTAAAATAATTCATTATGTTATTTTCATATGTATATATAAAAATAGCATGATCTTTGATTATATTCACCCCCAGTCACCCTCTCCTTCCCTCTTCTCACTCCTGCTACTCCCCCAAACAAACAACTGCATTTTCAACTTATTTATTTCTGTTGTGAAATTTGGAAGTATAGAAATTAACGGAGTTGGGAGGAATGGGGGAGTAAGCAGCAAAAGGAAATTATGGACAAGTAATAAGTATTACTACATATAAAAATTATAAATGGCATATGTCTGCCTCTGATTTTTGAATCTGCATTGTCCCTACAGTCAAAGATAATTAATTACTCCTCCCTTTATGTTTCTACAGCACTAACTTAGTGCTTAGTAAAGCACTTAACTTGCTTTAAGTAGATCTGTGTGTGAGTAGATCCTGTGTGATTTACCTGTGCAGTCCTAGGATAGAATGGCACATAGTAGATTTTCAGTAATGTTTGTCAAAGGAAATGGAATTAATACTTTTGCTGCACTTTAGGGTAAAAAAGCCTCATAATTCTTCATAGTTCTCTAAAATACTGGTCATTATGTAGGTTATGTGTAATTGTAATGCCAAAAACAGAACTCATAATTTGTTAGGATTCAGTGGACGTATTTCAATAAATAGAATTACAAAGAACAATGTTTATTGGATCTCTATTCCTTTTTTACCTTTTGTGTGCATACATTCTGCTATATCTTTTGTGATGTGTTTAAATTTATGAGTTAATTTCTTTTTCTACTTTGGTGTTCCTTTCTATTTTCAGTCATTGAACATACTTTTCATTTTCTCTCTCCCTCTCTGTCTGTCTGTCTGTCTCTTATTCTTTCTCCTTCATCTTGTTTACGTTGTGTGGAATTGACAGCATATTGTCAGGGCAGAAATAGTGAAGTACCCGGAAGAAGAGAACCAACCTGCCAGCTCTTCTCAGAGTAAAATCTGTTCAGTACAGTAGTGCAGGTATTAATGGAAAAATTAATGAAATTTGGGGAGGTGGGAGGGGAGGACTAGTGAATGTTACATTGGATTTTGTTCCTATGGATAGGAAAGTTCAGATGTTTATTGTACATTTTTATGAATTATTATGTGTCTACTGTTTAGAACATTGAAATATTTTTCAGTGTTCAGGTGACCTAAAAATTAAATAAGAAATTGAGAACAAATTAAACCATTTCAGTTACTGTCAGACATAATTGTCTTTATGGTTGTGTTTATTACACGTGCAGTGAAGTGGAGAATTGAGGCACTTATGTCATTATTCATTCCTTACCATTTTTTCCCGAAATAGCCTAGCATTTGAAAGAGTGTTTTAAAAATTTGCCTTCAATTGCCCTTCTTTGTCTGCATATATGCAGATTTAGTAAAAAGAGCTAAAAACAGTAAAGGATTTGTTGTAATTTAAATTTTACTTAGAGATGAATGTTAGAACATTTTGCTAAATTCATTGTTTCAGATATTTAAGTGTACGTTAGTGGAAAGGAAGGAATAGTTGAAAATGTTTTTTGTTCTAAATTATAAAGACATGAATATGATTTGATTTTCTGAATTTGTCATTATGCCACATTTTATTAGTCATTATTTATGACCCAATGGTGAGCTATTTAGAAGTAAATTAGGGATTTAGGAAGAAAGTTTTAAACACTGGAAAAAAAGAACCATATGCTTTATATGTGAGTTCTCTTGAGCATGCTTCTTCTTAGTAATTCACACACTGCTGTAAATGTTCTAAGAAAAGTTATGGCTGAGTATAATGGCTTATGGAAATACTAATAAATAATGAAAATCTTTACTTTGAAATGATGAGATTTTATCTATGAATTAAGTATGTTTGAGTAGCTAATTTTAATTATTTTGCTTAAATTTTAACCATAGTTTAATTTTTATATCGATTTGTCAATTTTTAAGGACACTTGTGATAACCTCAAGTTAATGTTATAAAATTAGGGTAATTCAATAACTGAGTTCTTAAACAAGAAAACAAAAAAACCCCAACTCTTCATTAGTTCTGGCTGATTCTTTTTATATCAACTCCTGCTTCATTTATGAAGTTTGTCATCAGGAGTTCACCAAAGTTCAGAAAATGAAAATATGCTTTTAGGAGCGCTTTCTGATGTCCTGATAATAACTCTGTTCTTTTATGGCAGAGGGTGGTGAAGGCAGATATTGTAAACTACAACCAGGAACCTATGTCAAGAACTGTTAACCGGCCTAGAAGCTCGATGTGTGCAGTTCAGTGAGCGCGTTTTTTTTTTGTATTGATAGTTGTGGCCGCCCTTCACCTCTGAGTGGGCCCAGGCTGTCTAGGAACATGTTTTATCAGTGACCATCTCTGTAGTTCAGCTCACACTTTCCTCCAGCTCCCTCATCATTAAGTGCTGCCTCACAGCCGCCGGCAGCTCCTTGGACTGGAAAGAATTCAACTTCAGGACCACACACTTTGAAATCAAAATGGAGAGTCCATTCTTTAGAGTTAAACTCCTTCATTGAAAAAGAATGATGTTGGTTCTTTATGTCCTCACTTCTTTTTTTCCCTGATGTAAATTTTTTTAACCAAATATGAAAACGCTCCTCCTGATCATCAGCCAGGATTTCATCACAGCATGGTTTCATTCTCTTATCTGAACTCATGTATGTCAAAGTATACTTCAGAGTGCAAATATTGAAAAAAGTAAAATATATTACCGCCAGTTACTTAAAGAAGGCATTCCTTTGCTGTCTATTGAAAGTGAAAACATATAAAGCTATATCAAAATGAAAATGCTTGAAATGAGGCTGTAATAGAAGTATTTTTTCATTTTTTTAAAGGAACCTAAATTGTTTATATTGTAGTTTATAACTCACAAAGTAGGCAGTATTTGATATTGTATTTTTATTACTGTATCATGGTCATTACATATTGTATCATACTCAGCTTAGATGTTTTATGGATTTTAATAAATGTTCAGCTGATGCTCCACATGGAACTTCTTCTACAAATTGCACAAGAGTACTTCCAGCGTGAGTTATGACATCCTGTTGGATCATTGTGGAACTGACTGTACCTGATGTTCAGATGTTTTCTCTTACAAATAAATTTGTTTAAGTTACTATTTTTGTTTGCAGTTTTTCAGCGATCTTCCTTTTTGTTACAGAAAAACAGTATGTGGACACATAGTCAACAATCCTGTGGAGTTTAGTCACTCAGAGTTGTTAGTTTGTATGGTTGGACCAATTATAGTCCATATTTCATAGGCCAGTATTTCAGGTGTACCATATCAGCTGAATCCTCTACCTTTTTACTTTTCTCATGCTACTCTCTTACCTCTGTGCAAATAGAATTATGGACTCATTCCTGTCTGCCTTGTGATGTTCTGTCTGCCTGTTGCTGCTCCACAGACCCCTCTTGGAACATCCCTCTCTCCCTTCCCCTGTTTCCTCCTTTTATCAGACATCAGACATAGTGAAGTCAGGGCTCTGTTTGTCTTGGTCATAGTTGTTGTGTTTTGTGCTAAGACCCAGTGCATGACATGGAGGGTGTGCTATGTTTATTTCACTGCAGCAGGAGTGTTCAGATGTCCCCAAAGTCATCCTCATCTCCACAACTGAAAGTTCCATGTCATACCTCCTAGATGGCCACTACCCCTTTCTGTCTTGCACCACAGCTGATTGTGTTCCTGTCCTTCAGTGTTTTATAAGCCATGAGGGCACTCACTGAAAGGCAGCAGTGGATCTTTCCTCTCTCATATCCCTTAACATGCCTCTCTGTGTGTCTGTCTTACAGGAGATTGGCCACGTGTATGCAGAAATTTTGGATATCTTAAGTTTAGAAAACTTATTTCACATTGTGGTGTGGTTAAGAGAACTGAAGTAAGAAGAGAAAAAGTAACTCTCCAGAGGTCTTTGAAACTCAGAACTAGACCTGATGGATGCCTGTTTCTGGGCCAAGAAATTAAATTAAAAAAAATTTAAAGATTTTAAAATTATAACTGTACTCAATAGGTAGTGGATCCAACCTCTTTATTTTTATTTCCATATTTTTTCATTTTATAGTAATTTAGCACCCTTTTAAGCCCTTCAAGGTGATAAGCCTTTCACACTAGTTCAGTTTACCCTTCCTTTCAACATCTTCCTCATGCACACAGACTAGGGCCTTTAGGAGCAAATAAAGTTGAATAAGCAAGTTCTCAACCTTCAAGGACTTTACAGCCTTGTAGGAGAGATGTTTGTTGTTGCTGCTGTTATTTTAAATTCTGTGGTTTATTGAAGCCCACTATGAAGTTAAACTTGCCCAAGGTTTTACATTCAGTAAAGGGTAGGACCATGCTCCTTTTGGTCATTTTGTGTTGTTTTTACATCATTGTGAAAACTTTAGGA